ATTTTTATTTATTACATTTATTTATTGTGTGTGTGTGTGGCCAGCTCAGCCCACCAGGGGGCGGGTCTGGCTGGCATGTGGTGCTGGGGATCGAACCGCGGTCCCTGTGCTTTGCCAAGCTTGTTTCAAGTAGGTGCTTTAGACCACTGAGCCATCTCTCCAGCCCCTCAAGTGATTCTTAAGTATAATCAAGTTTAATTCCTTAAGATATTTAAATCTCAGCTATTTTATTAAGATCAGGCTTAATTCTATTGCCTCTGATTACCATCTTATTAAGTAGTCTATCTCAGTACTATCTCCATGCCCTTTCTTTAGCCACTTCTCAATGGCAATCTGGCCTTTGACTGACAGGTCTACTGAAACTGCTGTCACTGAAGCACATGCAAATGACCTAGTTACCAAGGTAATAGGAGATGATAGTCCTCATATAATTTAACTTCTCAAACAACACCTACAAACACCCCATCCTTGGCCCTTTGTGGCCCTCCTCAGTCCTGGCTGCTCTGCCTCCATGACATTCCAGCTCTTCCTCTTAAGGCAAAGTCTAGCCAGAGTTCTAGCTTCAGCCTTTTCTTCTCACTCTCCTGGCAACTTTCTCTGTCCTTGTGGTTTCTGTTAATGCTTTTGCTAGTCATCTAATTCTGTAGTAGGATTCAGGAGCTCTAGAGGTAACTAGACCTCAAAGTCTCTGGGCAGAGTGCCTAATACCAGGCCAGATTTCTCCCTGATGCATAGCAACTTGTATATGATGTACCTCCTACATGCATCCCTTGTGAAACACTTAGGAACTCTACGTATAAGTTGTATCTTAGTCAACTTGATGCATCCCTAGCACAGGGCCTAACAGCTGGCACTAAAATACATAATGCGTGGATGACTGGAACTTTAAAGAGGAGGTGGATCACAGTAAGATGTCATCAGTGTCCTGAGTCCATGCAATAAATTTACTTTACTGAGCACTTACTTGGCACATTTATTATCTCCAAACACCTGAGAAGCCCAACAAGTAGGCATGAATGCACACTCCTACACTGATGAGAAATGCCTCGTTTGGAGACCTGATGTGCTCAAGATCACACTGCACGTAACAACTAAGATGCAACTCAAGACAAACTGGACATTCTGCCACAATTGAGAATGAAAGGAAAAAAATGAATTTAAGTTCAAAAATATAGCAGAAACAGGTTCTAGATTTGTAACTTTCAGGCAAAATTATCAAAGCCTGCTTCCAAGCCAAGAGCCACTAAGAAAGTAGCATAAGTCCCACATACAGTAACTACTCACATTTCTTTAACTTTATCCAGAGTTGTGCCTACTGGAATGACATTTGGATATACATTCATGGGACAGATGTAGCTCAAGAAATCTTTAATCTAGAAGAAGAATAATGTATCAGTTACCACTATGTTGAACACTTAGAGAAAATAAAGTCAGGCCAGGGAGAAGAGAAATAGTGACCACTGTGCTTCTTGGGGTTGGATATCTGTGGGGACCACATAGGAAAAAGAAAGGCCAATCAATGGCTAGGGCTCACTTCCCAAAACCCTCCCACAGCTGGGCTATGGTAGGCCTGAGAATCGGAACATCTACACTTTGCTTAGGTGAGTCTGCTCCTGAGCAGAAATGCAGAGTCTAATAGGAGTCAAAAAGGCAACTTATTATTTATGGATTACTAGGGATTGAACCAGGGCCTCATGCATGGAATGCAAGTGCAATGCCACTGAACTAAATCACTACCCCTTTAAAAACTGATTTTGAGACTATAGGTCGCCGAGCTGTCAAGGCTAGCCTGACCCTGGAATACTCCTGCCTTATGCTCCCAAGTGGCTGAATATTAAAGGAATTTTGCAATTTTTATGTATGTTTGAGACAGGGTCTCACTATGTAGCCCACACTGGCCTTAGAACTCAGCAATCCTGCCTCAGCTTCCCAAGTGCTGGGATTACAGGTACACACCACACCTGGCACATGTTTTATTTATTTATTTATTTATTTATTTATTTATTTATTTTGTGGTACTGGGGATTGAACTCAAGACCTTGCACTTGCCAGGCAAGCAACATTTTGTATTTTAAAATATGACTCCTTATTCAAGGTTACCCATATTTTTATTTTTATTTTTTATTTATTTAATTTTTTGGCAGAACTGGGGATTGAACTCAGGCCCTTTTATTCTACTGAGCTATCTCCCCAGCCCGACCTATATTTTTAAAATTCTCTTTCTAAAATTAGAATATAGTTGAGTACACACAGGAAAACAAAGCTTAGAACTGCATCTGAGAGGCCACTCTTGATCTGTTCCTGTAGCTTATTCTTTGTTGCACTGAACACTGCATTAGTCACCAACCCGTGGTGGGGTGGGGGACTCCAACCTGTCCTGCCATGGAACGTAGATCCTCCAGTAGAAAGCACAATGCAGTCAGCCTGGATGGATGGTACTTCTTGAAGACCAGCTTAGCAGGCTCAGCTGCAGCGGTGCTCCCTTCCCAGAGCCAGGTGAGGGCAGTCTGCTCAGGCCCTTCTGCCCCCTGGGGCAGGCCTCTCCCCTGCAAGTTCTGGAGTGCTGGCAGCTCCAATGCATGCACAAATCTGACAACTGTGGGCACAAGGCTGTTGCACAGCAGCCTCAGGCGCAGGCGGAGAAAGATGTGCTCTGAGTTAGGTGATGAGGCCCACACTCTCCCTGGGAGGCTTGAGAGACTGCACATTGGGCTGTCCTTTCCGAGGATTCTAATCACTACAGTGACATGCAAATATGGCACTAGTATCTCCAACATCCTGCAAAGTTTGGAAGGCTAAATGGGAACTCTGTCACTTGCTCACAACATCTTTACACCCAAGGTGAACCTCAACTTCATTGTTTCCTCAGTCTTCGTAAGCTCACAAGCTCAGAGAAACCATCTCAAGTCAAAGTCTCAGACTCTTTCCCCTAAAGTACAGACTGGACAGAATATGGGAAGTGGCTGGCCCAGCACCTGATTGGTACCTGGAGAAACGCTCAGAAGACTAAGGAAGATTGTCACTCTCTTCTGCAAATGAAATTACTGGGGCACAAAGCCAATATTAGACCAAGAGACAAGAGCCCAGGAATTAACAAACACTGTTAACTGTTTTTTTTTTTTTTTTTTTTTTTTTGTTTTTTTTTTTTTGCGGAACGGGGGATTGAACTCAGGCCCTTGTGCTTGCCAGGCAAGCACTTATTCTACTGAGCCATCTCCCCGGCCCCCTGTATTTTTTAAATGACAATTTTACCATAGGAGAAAACATCTGTTCTCTAAGAATTTCTCATAAGCAATGTCTTTTGCACCTTCAGAGGAGGCATGCAAATAGAAATCATTGCTTGCTTTCCTAAAAAGTACTTGATTTGCACAATTAATCCAAGCTGAAGCCAGACATGATGGCACAAGCCTGTAATCCCAGCACTCTGAGAGGATGAAGCAGGAGGATCACAAGTTCAAACTCAGCCTGGGCAATTTAACAACTTAGTAAGACCCAGTCTCAAAATACAATTTTGTTTTTTTGTTTTTAAAGGGGGGCTGCTGATATAGTTCAGTTCATAGGCCCTGGGTCCAATCCCCAGTACTGGAGAAAAAAAGTAATAAACCCATATTAAGGGCAATAGAAACCTAAGGCTTTTGAAGGGAATAATGATAAAAAAAAAAAATGAGGTTAATCCTATACCAGATTCACTACTGCTTAGGCAGGAAGTGGCACAAGGAAACAAGGTGCACCCAACAGAGGACTGTCCTCTCCTATGTGAGCAAGTTGACAGTCTGTCACCACTGCCAGCCTAACAGAAGACTTCAATGCAGTCAACTCCCAGTAATTACATTCCATAAAGTCACCACAAACACTAAGTAGTGAACACTGAGCCACTACTGCTAGGGGGAAACAATCCAGGGTTAGATTCCTGACAACTTCTGGGACATCAACATCAGTGGGTTTCGGGGCCAGGGAGATGGCTCAGTGGAATACACACTTCCCTGGCAAGTGCAAGGGCCTGAGTTCAATCCCTGGTTCCGCAAAAAAAAAAAAAAAAAAAAAAATCAAATCAATGGGTTTCATCAGCCAATCACTACCTAACCTTGTTTTATACATATTTCTGTTTACAAATGCCTCATCATGAATGTTTATTCTTTAGCACTGAACTCACAGTAAACAGTATAATTCATGTCCAAACAGAGCTTATATAATGTGTAATATGATCAAAATATACAATGGTTTTAATTTTTAATGTTTATTACTGTAGAAGAAACATTGCCACAAATCCCCCTCAAAATGTATTTTCTCATGTAGAACACACTTAACCCATCATTCTTGTCACTTTCTGAAGCAGTTCTGGAAGTCTGTCATGAGTGTCATTCTTTATGAGATGTATTAGCACAGCAAGTGCTGCTGCCAAAAGTCATCTAATGAAAAGGAAGGCTCTTAAAACATGACAGTGTGGCTCCTCTACCCTTTTCACCAGAGATGGCACTGTGTAACTCCCCCAAAGTCACAATAAACAAAAGGGGTAGGGAGACAGCTTAGTGATCTAAGCACCTGCCTGGCAAGTGCAAGGACCTGGGTTTGATCCCTAGTACCACATGCCATGCAGGCTCCGAAACCGGGTATGGTGAAGCATGTCTATAAACACAGCACTGAGGAGGCTGTGACAGGAGGTTCACTAGTCTGAGCTGTGTAGTAAGACCTTGTAGCAAATAAATAATTTTTAAATTTTTTTTTTAAATCGAAGTATATATAAAAGTTGTTGGGGCTGGGGAGATAGCTCAGTAGAATAAGTGTTTGCCTGGCAAGTACAAGGTCCTCAGTTCAATCCCCGGTACCACCAAAAAAAAAAGCACTTCATAAAAGGTGTTTTGAGGCAATCAGGACACCGAGGCAGCCATAATGATGCAGTTGGAAGACACTCAGGTAAAAACACTTCCAAACTACTTCACAAAGAGGCAAGGACAATGGGATAAGTGTACAAGAAGCAAAAGGAATCTTTTCAGAGGCATTAATGCAATGTTGTCTTTTTTTTTTTTTTTTTTTAGGGAAGGGTCTCACTACTAGATCAAACTCATAGTGATCTGCCTGTTTACAATCTCCCAAGAGCTGGGATTACAGGTGCACACCAACATGCCCAGTCTCAATTGCTGCCTCAGCTCGCCCTGGGGGCAGGGCCAACACAGAAGGCCTAGGGATTGAACCCCCAGCCCCTGCACCTGTTTGCAGGTGCTTTAATCTGCTGAGCTATTTGGCCAGCCCTGCAATGTTATCTTTTGTTATAGTAATTTTTAACTTAAACATTTACTGTACTCTTGACCACACTCTGGATCTTTACCTCAAGACATATCCTTCTTGTGCTTAGGCATATTACACAGTATTTCAATACTTTACTCAGGACCATTTTATATGGTAAAATCACCAACCAAAGGCACAAAAATATGAAAAATACAGCATTCTAGAGACCATGGAAAGGACCTCTGTGTACTGAATGACAGCTGACACAAGGTAGCAGAGCACACCTCATTCCTCTGCGGCTGGGAAATGCATGTCAAGAATTGCCCACCATTCTCCTTGTATCTGTAAGTCCTTCCTGCAGCCCAGGGGGGTGGACATGGGATGACAGATAAACTGTAGCAAGTAAGCAAACACAGAAATGTGGAATCCACACATAATCAGAATCAACTGTTAGAATGAAACTAGGGAATGGGACTGAAATAGTAAGACATGCTCTGGGTCAACCAAAGAGTCAACAACAGGGTTGAGTTTACAGGATCCTCTTACCTCACTGTAGGAGGAGTGAAAAGAAAAACAAGCTCTGTATGAACTTTCTCCGGTCCTAAACAGAAATGAAAACACAAATACAAAGTCACCTACAAAACTAAGCTCAGTTCTAAACTTTGATCTTTCCCAGTTAGGCTATTCCAGGGTGAAATAACCCTACAATCAGGAACTTCTTGGGATAAGGCTCAACATTTTCCAGTAAAGAAAATCTGTTGTAGACATATTAAACAGCCCAGGCCAGGGAATGTTGCTAATGTAGTAGACAGAGTATGGAAACTCCTCTACTCTGCCAAAGCTTCTATTCTATGATACAAATTTTAACTCACAGTCAAGCACTGAATGCCTTTAGGCTTCAACTGTTTACCTCCTCACTCAAGGCAGCCTCCAGATATACTGGCTAACGTGCTACAGCAGGCCTTGAGTAGTACCCCTTTAGTTTAAATCATATTTTAATTAAAGCCATTACTTCCCCGATTAGAGTACATCCTCTTCTCGAGCTTAGGTTAGAGCATTTATACTAAACTACATTAAACTTTTTTTTTCTAGTACCAGGGATTAAACCCAGGGGCATTCTAGCACTGAGCTGCAAGTTCAGGATTTTATTTTTATTTCCAGACAAGGTCTAAATTGTTCAGGTTGGCCTTAAACTGGTGATTCTCCTACTTCAGCCTCCTAAATTGCTGAGATTACAGACATGTGCCATCATGCCCGGCTTAAATATTTTATCTCCAAATCTTCATAGCACTGCTCTCTTACCTCACAATTACGTTTGTTTTCCTGGATCTTTCTCCAAACCACATGGTGGATGGCTTAATACTGATTGTCTGGAGTGGAATTTTATTCTTAGAAGTAGTTCCACAGGGTAATTTATTCCATTGATAGTACTCTTCTGCCTAGACCGTATTTGAAAAAATATAGAAATATATATATATATACATTTCAACAAATCTGTTTGTAGTCAGCATTTCAAAAACAAGTATAGGTAAGTTTTCAGACATGAAAAGAATATAGATATAAGGAACCAATCAGATCACTGCAAATTGATCTGAAAACATTCTGCAGGACAACTGGCCTGGACTCTTCAAAGCCATCAACATGGGAAAAGAGAAACACACATACAGACATAAATATAAATGCACAAAATTATTAAATCCACAAATACAAGTTAAAATATATAGTTTACCAATTCTTAAAGGTCATTTCTTATTGTAGCTCTATCTATTGCAATGGCCTTCAGTAGAATATTCCATGTTGTTGATAAGAATTCTATTTTTGTGCAAAACCATGCTTTATACAAGAGCCAGCCACCTAAAGGATTCTGGATAGCAAGGCTAATATTACTGCCACAGCGATGACCTAAATTTATAAATGCAGTGCTTACTAAAAAAACTACTCAGCATTTGATTAAAATATTTTACAATTTAGAAGGAAATTATGATTAGTCATACCACTGCATTTGAAGGTAACTAGCCTTAATTAAAATGGAAAAGAATGTTACAAGAAAATTCGACCTGGAAGCCAGAATTCCTGGCATTTCATAACAGGACACATAGCTCGGCCATCAACGCGCCTGCCTGGCAAGTGCAGGGTCCCAAGTTCAATCCCCAGTACCACATGCTGTGCTGGCCCAGAAACCAGGTATGGTGGCACACACCTGTAATCCCTGTGTTGGGGAGGATGACACAGGAGGATCACTACAAGTCCAAACTGAGTAGTGGGATCCTGTACCAAAAGAATTAAAAATAAATAAAAACATAAAATAATCAAAAATTGAAGGAAATTATACCTGAATATTTTTCAAGTGAGTGCAAGAAACATAAATGTGGACATAAGTCTCAGGAATAAATGGCGAGGGCTGGGGATATAGCTCAGCCATGCATGCACAAGGCTCTGGATTCAATCCCTAATACCACACACATAATGAATAAACGGCAAATAACTCTCAGGAGCCCCTATGTGGGACTTCTCCTGGGCTCCCATGAGATGCCCCCTATCATGACTCTTTATGCTAGCACTTTACTTTTGCTTTTAACTTTTCTTCTCTTTGTTCAGCCCATGTTCTCTCTGGGTTTTCCTTTACTCTTTAACCCCTTGCTTTTCAAATAAACTTTTGGCATTACAGAAAAATAAACAACATAAATGGTAGTAGAGATGGATGTAGTGGCACTTGCCTATAATACCAGTACTTAGGAGACTGAGGCCAGAATATTGCTGACAGTTCCAGGCCGACCTGGGCTACATAGCAAGTTCAAGGCCAGCCTGAACTTCACAGCATGACCCTGTCTTTAAAAAAAAAAAAAAAAAGCAATGGAGATTTCAGGAAGTTGGCAGAGCAGTAAACAGCCATAAATCAGCCTCTCCAAGATCTAGAATCCAGACACTGGAAAATAACAACTTGGGAAAGAAAAGTGGAAGGGAGGTGGATGCATGGGACCCAGGAAGAATAAGATGGGAAAGTTGGAGCCCACAGAGAAGCTGAAGAGACAGACCACAGACCACAATGCAGAGAAATGAATGGCAATCTATACTTTCTCCCCAGCTCCTACCTCAAGTGAAAGAAAGGAAGATCAAATCTACAAACACACACGAAAGCAGGGGAACTCAGAGGTCCTCGGCACAGGAAATGGTGCACACAATGAACGCTCGCGACCGACTTCAGTCTAAGCATCTGCAATACTCCTTCAGCAACAGCCTGGCTGGACACCACTTAGGGAGGGGCCTGCTGAACGTGAGAATGGGAGCAGTGTGGGGCGGCATCATTTCAGGACACCCAGTATTAAACTCCCCAGGTGACTGTGTGAGGGGCAACCATAAGAGATATCCATGGTTAGGGAGCCACAGTCAGGCTGGCAAGAGACACCCAAAGTGTTGTATTTTTCTTTGTAAGTTTGGTGTCTGGCTTTTTCTGTCCCTGTGACCTGTCCCAGCAGGTCCACATTCCAGGACCTGTTCCTTTTCTTTTTTTTTTTCTTTTT